ATATACTGAGTGTTGTATATTCATTGTCATATAATATGTTACACATATTTTTAAACTTGATTTATTCCTATGTGCACTGCAGCATTGCCACATAGTAGCAGAGTTAGTCTGATTTTCCATGTCTCATGCCCTAGTGCATCACTACGCTAGAACTTTGGGGCCATTGTTAAGTAAAATAAAGATCACTTGAACAGAAATACTGTGATATCATGACAGTCTATCTGACTACCAAGACGGCTACTAACAGAGGGGTAGCATATACAGAGTGGATCCACTAGCAAAGGGATGATTCATGTCCCAGACAGAACAGAGCTGGACAGTGAGATTTCATCACGCTAGTTAGAACAGCACCAGATTGGTAAATTAAATGGTAAAACTAGAATTTACCATTTAGTATTTGCAAACTGTAGTTAACCATAGGTAACTGAAATCACATAAAAATGAAACCACAGATATGGGAGGACTACCGTATTCACCAACAGAAATGTTGCTACCGGGTTTGAACCTCTAATGATCCCTCAAAAAACAGCAACGAAAAGGAAAGAAAATAAATCCATGATGATCCTGTCCAAGTGGTCAATACTGCCCCATATATTGTCAGGAGATACCATGAAGGAGATGACTTTCAGGGTTCTCAGCCCAATATAAAATAATATTGGAGCAAGGGGAAATCTCAAGAGGGTGCTAGCTTGTCTCCAATGCCCCCTAACACTGCTAACCCCTCCTCTCAACAAAGAATGAACGGCCTGACACTCGGAGCCTTGGCAGGCTAAGGCACTCACTAGAATTTTAATGACACTGGGTTTTTTTCCGCCATGGTTTTTTTAAAATGCTTTCCTTCTTTATAGAACAAGAGAGACTAGTTTGCGTATATATGAAAAACAATATTTAATAAATTTTAAGCAACCGAAGTATTTTTACATGAGTCAATGTAAACTGGCATATAAGTGACAGGACAAGTGATAAAAGTCACGCACCCGGTACCAAATGGCTAAATTTCAGGAAATGCTGATAAAATGCTTTTACCCTTGTAGCAATGCTTTTGGGGTAACTGGCATTTTTACCTCCAGTTTGTGTGTAGAAACAGTGGCACAGAGTCAGGAAATGACCCAGCCAAGGTCACACAGTCCTCTGAAACCCAGTTGCACTGAGCTCTGGCATTTGAGGGCTCACCAGGTCACCAGTTCATGGTGTTCGCTTGCGGAATTGGGAGACTGTCCTGTGCATGGCTTACGTCTCCAGAGTCCTGCTGGCTTTGGAAATTAGCTGCCAGGTATCTGATGAACCCTCACCTGCAAAAGCTTGGGCACAGCCCCAAAGCTGCCCTTGGATTCTTCTGCAGCCTCTCCCCACCACCCCACAGCGCCAGCTAAAGGGCCACGAGGTGCCCGACCCCAGCTGGCACTGCAAACTGGTCTTCCGGATCAGTGATGCAGAGTTCCCTAGAAGATAAGACCATTAACAAAAAGACAGCCTCCGGCGTCCGAGTATTCAGGACATTCTGGAACTTTCCTAAACAGGACAGCTCATTCCTCTGCTCCCTCCTGGCCAGCAGATTACCCACCTGCTGGCCTCTGTGCTGTTCCCCTTTGTCATCCTTGCTGCTTGGCGGAGCCGGCCTTATCTGTACGTTGATGAGTCATGCTTTCTGTACATTTCAATGTTTTATCCCTGCAGGGAAGATTCTGGTAAGTACCTTCACTCTCTCAGCTCTTAATACTCCCAGCCTCCCTCTTAGGACTATTTCAGAGGCTCTTAAAGAAAATTGAACTTTTAGGCAGTTGGAGGGCGATGGGCGAGAAGGGGGAAAGCACGGGGGACCGGGGAGTGTGCCTGTGACCAGCCGATTGGAACCAGTGTTCCTGCCGTCCCTCTTCTCCTTGATAACTTGAGCCCCTGGAATGTCCCAGGCATTGCACGGGGTGTCAAAATCCCTGGCTTCCCACGCCGTGCAAACCAAGAGGGAGTGACGTCCCGGAACTTTTTACTCACCCGACACGGACAGGATGTCAACTGTAAGTCACTGTCATTTCGGAGTATGCTGGCTTTTGAAGCCATCTCGGTTATGCAATGAATGACATTAGAGTCCCAAAAGACGGTGTTCCAGCTCTGAGGACGCTCCGTGACCTCCCAGACCCCTCGCCTGTCTTAGTGAGTCATCTCTGTGGCTTTCTTATTTCTGCCACGCCGGGCGATCACGGGTCCCTGGCCGGCTCTCCCTGGGCTGCCGAGTAGTGATAAGGGTTCAAATCAAACAGCGCACCTGGCTACACTTTGTGCCAAGTAAAGTTTCAGCCATTGTGCAAGGATTCGAGAATGCAGGCGAGGGTCACGGGCTAACCCGAGGACGTCCTTGGGTTGCTGGTCACAGAAACCGTCTCTGGAAGACTTGAACAAAAGGGGGTTTATTTATTTATTTATGGACCTACTTATTTTGGACAAGTGTTCTTTACGTTTCTACAGAGCCTTGTCCAGAAGGTCTTTTCTTTGTGTGAGGTTTTGTTTTGGGGTTTGGGGGGTTGTTTTTTTTTTAGATTATGATAAAAACATTGAATATGATATCTATCCCTTCCATCAGTTTTTAAGAGTACAATTCAGCAGTGCTGACTCTAGGCACAATGCTGCACAGCAGATCTCGTGGGCTTCTTCATCTTGCTTTACTGAAATGATCCTTACAGAAGAGCAGCTCCTCACACCCCGACCTCCTTGTTTCTGTGACTTTGGCTATTTGTTGTTGTACATTGCAAGATTTCTTTCTTTTTAAAGGGTGAATAATATTCCATTGTACGTATAAACCACATCTTTTCCATTCACTCCTTCCATGATGGACATTTGGGTTGAGTTCGCCTCCTGGCTACTGTAAGTGATGCTGCAGTGACCATGGGGATGATGAGCTATTAGAGGCTCACAGAGGAACAGGAAGCCACATCATGCAGGAAGTAAGAATCACAATGACCCAGAGCGGATGAGTCAGGGTTGGTGGACCCCGCCAAGATGAATGACATAATACAAACTCTTCTCCTATCTGTACTTTACTCTCTCAAGATTCTAAACCCCGCAAGAAAGTTCAGGACACCTACCTGCCTACTCCTGACTGTTCTGAAATTGAAAATCCGGCTCCTTCAGGGTGGCAAGCATCTGAAGTCACTGTCCTTCAAGACCACATTCAGCAGGGGAGGGTCACTCTCCAAAAGATCAGAATCTGCTAGGAAAAGAGAGAAGATTCTGGGAAGCCCCTAATGCAAATTAATTACTGTTCAGAAATTAGTTTAACAGTCATGAAACACGCACATGGTGCATGCGTGAATCCCTGTGACTCGGGAGGCCGAGGCAGGAGGATCACAAATTCAAGGCGAGCCTCAGCAACTTAATGAGACTCTGACTCAAAATGAAAATCTAAAAAAGGCTGGGATGTAGCTCAGAAGTGAAGCGCCCCTAAATTCTATGGCCAGTACCTCAAAAGAGAAAAAAAAAAAGAAATTAATTAAATGCTCAAATAATCACAATGTGCTGCTTTCAGATACGATTTTTGGGTTGATTTACTTTTTTGCCAATTCATGTCCTCCTCCCCCGCCCAAGGGTACCAGGTAATTTGGTGGCATACACCATTATGGCTTTTCTCTTTCCTCTGTCTCTTCTCGTCCCTCCTCCCCTCTTCTCTGTTCCCCCTTCTCCCTTTGAATTCCTCCTCCCTTCCTTCCTCTGTCTCCCCTCACCCTTGGTGAGGCTTTTCAGAACAGAGTGAGTCTTGAAGGATGCTCAAGGGTCTCTTGATCCCTCTGGACTGGAGAGAAAAGTTGGTGGTCCTGACACTTGAACATCCTGGTCCCCTGCCCCTCCCTCACCCCATCACACACATATTGCGGATGTACACACGTCTGTGCGTGTACATGTATGTGCATATAAGCAAGTGCATATATGCATGTGTACACATACATACATGCGCGCATGTATGTATGCATGCATGTATGTGTGCACGCATGTGCATGGGCACTCACACACCTAATCCTTGCCTCCCCCTCCTCCCCAGCAAAGACCCCATTTTCTGCATCTCATCCACAGTCCTTCACATTCCGATGACATTTACCCACGTGCAACATGGATCCTCTGTCCTCTCCCCGCGGCTGGGCATTCCCATCCCCTGCGGCTGCCCCTGACCACTGTGACAGGTCATGACAGACAGGGAAGGCCTCAGTGCAGATTCTGTGGGAGGGGTCCAGCATGTCAAGAACCGCAGCAGATGGGTGTTAGGACCAAGGCTGGGGCAGACGCTCAGCGGCTCACTGGAGGGCCCCGACAAGCCCCGCATGGAGCACACCAAGAGCAGAGGACCCAAATAAACTGGTCAAAGCTCTCGCGGGGCAGGCCTAGGTCAGCGGAGACCCAGGAGCATCCCGGAAAACATCAGGCTCCATTTGACAGCCTAATAGCAGGGAGGGAATGGTCTCCTGCATCAGCTCCAAAGGTTGGATTTCTCAAGAAGGGCATCCCACCAGGAGACGCGGTTTTCACCATTGCTTTGTAATGACGTGCTTTACCAAGACACATGGCATGGCATATTTTTACCTGCATTTTATGATGACAATTTTCAAGCGTACATAAAACAATGGAAATTTTTGGAGTGCAAACTCATACACCTATGACCTAGATTTTAATTATCTCTATTTAATTTATCTCTGCGCTTTAATGCATATTTATCCCTTTGCGCAATTCTTCTATCTCCTCATCAAAGCTTTTAATTTTTAGATGCATTTTGAAATGAGTGGCAGGCACTAATCCACTTCAACCCGGAACTTCGGCATGAACTGAAGGTCACTATTTGTTTATGATTCATCCAGAAGATACGTTCGACATAAAAATAAAATGAAAGCGTTTGTGAGGAGGAACTGAAGGAGAGATGTACAGTAAGAACACAGAATTTTAGGGCGATGAACCTGCTCTAGATGACACTATAATGGTGGGTTCATGTCATAATACATTTGCCCAAACCCTTAGAATGTGCGATACCCAGAGCGAACCCATGTCAACTGTGGATCTGGGTGATAATGATGTGTCAAGGTAGATTCGTCAGTTGTAACAAGTTGCTATGGTTCAGAGGAGTGTCCCCCAAGGGTGCTAAAGGCTTGGGCTCCAGGGTGATACTACTGGACAGTATTGGGGACCTTTAGGATGTGATGCCTGGTGGAAGATCCTTAGGTCATGGCAGGCATGCCCTCAAAAGGAATTATAGGACCCTAGTCTCTTCCTCTCTCTTTCTCTGTCTGCTTCCTAGCACAAAGGGGAGCAGTTGGCTCTGCCATTTGCAACTTCCATGAAGTGCGCCCCTCACTGCAGGCCCAAAGCAATGGGGCCACCCAATCGTGCACTGGACCCTCCCCAACCATGAGCCAAAATAAGACCTTTTCTCTAAGTTAAATGCCTCAGGCAATTTGTTACAGTGACACAAAGCTGACTAAGGTAAAAGTGTACCGCACTGGCTCAGGACGCTGATAATGGGGGAGGCTAAGCATGTGTGGGGACAGAGAGTATATGTATTTTGTGATGAACTTAAAACTTCTCTAAGAAATAAAGTCTATTAAAAGCTTTCTAATAAAACATACAGCCTGGATCTAACAGCGCACTAGCCAACTGCCATCTCCCAGGCTGCACTCAGCTTGTAGACCTGTGTTGCTTTTGCCTGCCCAGCATCTCTCGGCCCGTCCCATTAGGGAACTCTATTTCCCTTTGGGTGAGTGGCCCACCTCCTTTCCTCTCATAGTCGGTGCGTCTGGAAAAAACTGACCCCTTCTCTTGGTGCCATTGCTGGACACGGAATCCATTCAGCTGTTTGTTGTTGTTGTTGTTGTTGTTTAGTTGGATGCAGAAATCCATTTCAAACTAGTTAGTTAGTTTGCAACAACCCAGGACTTCCACTCATGCTCTCTTTCAGCTCCGGTTCTTAAACTGACGAGGCAGATCCAGGAAGGCTGTGTCCATCCTTGTATCCTACTGCACGCACCTGCTTGAGAATGCAGCCGATCCGAGCGGAGCAGTCCCCGCTGATGGAAAGAGACAGCCAGGTCTTGGGCCTGGACCCCCGGGGCTCACGTCAGGCAAGCGTCTGCACGTTTTGGTTATGAGAGCAGATACATTTCTCTTTAAAAATTGAGCTCGTTGGAACTTTTCTCCATCGATTTCCATCAAGAGTCCTGAGAAGCGCCTAGTTACCAGGGAGCAGGGCTGGCAGTTCACACCCGGGTCTGACTTCGGGCCTTGGTGGGGCCCCGTGGACACGGCAATTAGACCCGCCTTGAAGAGGCAACGCTTTGGGAAGCCCGGCCTGGCCAGGAGGCCGTGGGAATCCAGGATGGGCCGGTGACAGACACCCACCCCCAGGGGCAACACAGGGCCGTAAGGATGTCACAGAGGACAGCATGTCTGTGTCCGTGGGCAGAGGGGACTATGGGGCAGGAAAGGCTTGGAGGGGAGGACCCACGGGGGGTTCCTGACAACCTCGGCCATGACCTGTGTGTGTGTGTGTGTCCCCGTCAACCTGTCTGTCCATCTCTCTCTATATTATGTGTACGTGCACATCTGCCCATCCATCTTTGTATGATTGACAGCTGGCTCTTCCCTAACCCTAACCCTCCTCCCACCTCTTTCCTTCCCCCTCCCTCTCTGTCCCCCCTCCCCTCCTGCATTCACTCCTGACTTTGGGGGTGCACAGTCCACTCCATCATCAGCAACCCCCTCGTCCCAGCCACCATCATTTCTCACAGCCACATAACTTGTCTTTATTCCCGCCTCCGTTCTTGCCATCGGCCCATCGATTCTCTTCCTCCTTGACAAAGTGAATGTTGGGAAGTGCACGTCTAATCACGGCTCCCCCGCTGCTTAAAACCAGGGGTAAAAAACCAAACTCCTCACCACAGCCAACAAAAGCCCTGTCCGCTCTCCAACTGCAACCAGCTCCTCGGTGTCCCACACTGTGGGGCTCTCCAGTTCCTCAGAGTGCTTCTCATTCCTACCCCAGGACCTTTGCACTTGCCCTGTCCTCCACTCTGATGCTCCCTTGGCCCCATGTCCCTTCACCCTTCTCATCTGACTGGGCAGGCAAAAGCAACACAGGTCTACAAGGTCTCATCTCTGCTCAAATATCTCTTCCTTAAAGAAGCCTCCTCTGACTGCCCACCCCTACAGATCTCCTGCTCATGTTCTTCCCATCTTCTAATTTTTTCACTGTAGCATTTATTTGTGTGGGTATGCATGCTTGTGTATGTGTGCATTGTGTTTCATGCTTTTGACTCTAAGATCCAAGAAAGCAAAGCTATATCATTTTTTTTTATATATCAGGGATTGAACCCATGGACACCACATTCCCAGTCCCTTTTATTTGTTTATTTTGAGACAGTGTCTCTCTAAGTTGCTTAGGGCCTCACTAAATTGCTGAGGCTGACTTTGAACTTGCGATCCTCCTGCCTTAGCTTCCTGAGTTGCTGGGACTACAGGAATGCAACGGCACCCAGCTACATCAACTTTTTAAAAATGACAGTATATCCAACCCACGACAGAGACTGGCATACACACTTGCACTGGGTTGCATTCCCAACTATGAGCAAAGTGTTGGTCTCCATCTCTGATATGTTTGTGTTGTGGGTTCTACTGAGTAAATAATTACTCCTTTAGGCCCTGCCCTCTATCCCAGGGTGGAGAAATGCAATGTAGACCTAGAGGACCAAGGCAAATGAGAGGCAGCCTATGCTATGGTTTAGATCTGGAATGTTCCCCAAAGGCTCGTGTACTGATGTCCTGGTCCCCAGTGCAGCTGTTCAGAGGTGGGGCTTTTGGAAAGTGAGCAGCCTGGGTCCACGGCTCCCCTCCACCATGATGTACTGCCCCCTACAGCCCCAAGGCAATGGATTTTCAGCCAACCACAGACTGAGACCATGAGCCAAAATAAACCTCTCCCCCTCTAAGTTGTCCCCCACCCCAGGTATCTTGACACATGGATGAAAAGCTAACACGGATTATTTCTTTATGGAATTGAAGATCGCGCCATATTTCTGTGCCACTCATCTATATTATCTACCCAGGTGCTTAAGCATTTCTGTTTAAAACTCCTATGCTAACATTTGGCATTTATTTCTATTTTATTTATTTAACTTTCCTTCTGTTCATCCACCTGGCAGGCACTGGGAATACAATGCAGGACAAGACCCTGCCTTGTGGTACACAAGACCAGCTTGGCCATATGTGACAGTTTTCCACCTTGTGCCTGGCCTTCTGCAGCTGCCTGCTGATTTTAGCACAGGGTTGGGGTCTGATTGCAGCCAGACAGGATAGTGTCATTTTAAAACTGAGGCTGTGTCCCCAACCTCAATGGTGTCCCAAGCTGACACTCTGGGCTGCAAAGACAAATTCATGTCCCTGTACCCTGAATGTCCTCAATGCCGAAGCTGGGACAAAGGAAGAGTCATTTTTCAGAGTGAAGAGGAACACAGATTTCAGTTTTAGGTAGGATTGTCCCTCAACGAGAAGCAGACATGGGAGCAATGACTGAGGAGGGTGAAGAAGCAGGTCTGCAGTTTCTGGGAGCAATTCCAGGCAAGGGGAGCACCCAGTGCAAGAGCCCTGGGGCCTTATCCATAAGTCACAATGTCGGGAGATCTCTGAAGATGGGAGGGGGACCAATCAGACACTCTTTCCCCATCTCAGTCTAGCCACCTGCAGACAAATCCAATTTATGGGTTTTTGAACAATTATTTATTGATCCTCTACCATGCTAGCACTACTTTATTATCAATACAGTGGGGTTGCTTTTTAGGTTTTTTTGTTGTTGTTGTTTGGGGCCAGTCACCTTCAAAATAGCTACGAGAGAGGATCGTGAATGTTCTCACCCCAATGAAAAGATCAAAATGATACCTGTCTGACGTATTAGAGGTGATGGATATGTTCATTACCGTGATTGGATGATTACACATTGTATACATGAATCGAAACATCACATTATCCCCCATAAATATGCACAATTACTGTGTGTCAATCAAAAATAAAAATAAAACAAATAAACAGCAAGAGAGGTCAAAATAACATTGTGACGTCTAATAAGGCTTGAAATATCAGAGGAGGCTTCATTATGCCCCTGTGATGCTCTAATAACCTCAGACCCAGCCAGGGCTGGCAGCTCCCTCTCTCCCTACACTGCCTGGGCTACAGAGCTATGCCCTGCCCCTTCCCCAAAACGACTGGAGGAGACATTAAGAAAGATGGGGCCTGGGCCCCACAGGCAGGGGTCCCTCCACCTTGGGAGGCAGGGCAGAGACTGGGAAAAGCCCAGCCAGTTCCCTCTCTCCAAGAACTGATGTTACGGGGGCAGGGGACCCTCTCAGGCTTCCCAGAGCCCACCCCATGATTGACATTGGCCGCTGCTGCTACAAGGGCTCCTGGAAACGCTTCCCTCCGTATTTCTGTGGAATCTTTAACTGTCTCACCCACACTGTCTTGAGGACTGCACAGATGTCTCTGGCTTCCCAATTCTGTGGTGGCTGAGAAGTGCCACTCTTGAAACTCTCCATCTGCCTACTCCTAGGAGGAGGGGTGCTCCTCGGGTGCTCGGATCCCACCTGCTCCATCCTTCACACCACCTTCAAACACGGAGACCACCCCACGCCCCCACGTGGCCCTGTGTGCTTTGGGCATGTTGGTGAGGAGCCTGCCTGCGTGTTTTCGCGTGTCTAGCTAGGTGTGGGTGAGAGGGCATCCGCGCCCGCATGACTGGGTACTGTGTGTCTTTGTGTGAGCGTGGGGAGACGTTCTGCCGGAGTGGCCGCGAGCTCCTTTATCCCAGGCTGAAGGTGGCGTCTGGCGGGCTTCTCTTAGCCAGCCTGCAACCCCTCTAAGAGCACTCCAGTTCGGGGACAGTCCCACCTCTGGCCGCCCACAGAATTAACACTCAGACACAGAGACGCACCGACCCTTCCCTTCAGAGCCTGCAAGCATCCTCGCGTCTCCAACGGCCTCCCCTTCCCCCCACGCCCTGGATGTAGAATCCTCTATAGGAAGATGGACTCGAGGCACTGGAGAGGGAGCAGAGAGGTGGCTGGGAGGAGAGTCGAGAAAGGCAAACTGAGGACACGCTGGAGGAGTAAGGAGCCGCTGCGGGAGGAGCAGGTCCCACCCACACCACGCCCCTCCCGCGGGGATCGGAGAAGGGGTAGGTACCCTGCTCTCCAGCCCGGTCTTCCTCCGGGCTCGCCAGCTCCAACTCCATCTTCTCCCCTGAAACTGGAGCCGAGAGAGGCAGCTGGGACCCCTCCTTTTATGCACCCACCCGATCCCCCTCCCTGCAACACACACACCCCACATCCAGGCAGATGCTGATTGGCTACTGGGAGCGCGTCCCAGCCCCCCGGCTCTGAGGCGGGAGCCGAGCGGTCCGAGGTGGGAGGTGCACTAACCGGCTCCGAGCCCCTCCCGAGTCCCCGCGCCCTGCGCCGCGCGCTCTGCACCCTGTGGGAGGGCTGAGCGCGGACTCCAGGCGGGCAGGTGCGGAGCGAGCAGAGGATCGCGGCCAAGGGTAGAAGCCAGTCCTGCGGGGAGAGAGGCGCCGCTGCTCCAGCTGCTGCCTCCGCCGCCACCACCACGGAGCCGGCGTCCAGAGCCCGGCTGGCAGGCTGGGCGCGCAGCGGCGAGGGCAGGAGGGGCGCGCTCATGGAGCACACGCACGCCCACCTCGCAGCCAACAGCTCGCTGTCCTGCGGCTTGGGCTTCGTGCCCGTGGTCTACTACAGCCTCCTGCTGTGCCTCGGTTTACCAGGTGAGGGGCAGGGGGGAGAGGGAGGGAAGCCAGGATCCCCCAGGGGCCAAGCAGCCCTGCCCAGGACCCCCAGCCCCGCAGTCGCCCTCCCCGTGCGCTCCCTGGCGCCCCTCTGAAAAAGTTTAAGCCTTAAAGGCAGCTGCGGAGATTTCCAGCCTGGGAGAAAGGAAGTTGCTGTGGCCTGGTGGTGTGTGTCGTGTTTCCGAGTGTGCACAGTGGCAGTGTGAGTGTGAGTTGGCTGTGAGTGTTCCTGTGGATTCTGGCGTGCACTCGTGTGCGGGTCCGAAGGGGTCCGAATCCGCGAGCTCCCGCTCAGGGCTGTGTGGGACTTGCCTGCGGGTCCTGGACAGGAA